AACATAGAACATAGAACATAGAACATAGAACATAGAACATAGAACATTACAGTGCAGTACAGGCCCTTCGGCCCTCGATGTTGCGCCGACCTGTGAAACCAATCTGAAGCCCATCCAACCTAAACTATTCCATTATCATCCATATGTTTATCCTCTGTTACTATATGCTTCGTCAATACAGTCAGAGAAAATAAGAGCAGGAGAAAGCCATTCAGCCCTTTCGTCCAGCTTCAACATTTAAATGATCATGGCTAAACATGCAAGTAAGTACCCTGTTCCTTCTTTCTCTTTGAACACTTCAGTATTATGTTTTGGCTAAACTGTGCTGTGGGAGAGAAGTCCACAAGCTCACCACTTCCGAGTCAAAGACATTTATGCTCATCTTAGTCTTTAGTCCTACACTGCAACTATCAACCTTGGTTCTGGGCTCCCCAATCATTGGGAACATCTTCCCTGTGTTTATCCCGCATGGCCCTGAATTTTACACGTTTCTATTGAATGCCCCCTCAGTCTCACAATGACCTTGTGCAATTCCAACACAATATTCTTGTTTCTGGATTCAAATCATCTCACTGTGAAGGCTAACATAAATCTGCATTCTTCACCGCCTACTCTGCACACAAGCTTACTTTCACAGGCTGGTGTCCTTTCTCAGACCTATAACCATTCAGATAATAACCTGGCTTCCTGTTTTTGCTACTAACTGGAAGACCTCAAAATTATCCACATTATATATTATCTACTATGTATTTGCCCACTCACAACTTGTTCAAATCACAAATCCGCTTAATGGAGAATGTCCTCATTGTAAGCAATTGGTGGTAAACTCCTCCCAGTCAAGAACAATACTGCCCCCTAAAAACATGGCGGCACCTCGTGCGCATTCCCCCAACAAACATTACCGCCGCGCCTGCGCCCCACTACCCGTCCTTTTCAAACAAAATAGCGGCCATGAATTCAACATTAAACTCCGGCGTTGGCGACAAACGGAAGCATTAGAAGGTCGTGCTGGGGTTTGCAGCTTACCGAACATGTTTACGAAGCTTTTCCGTCCATCTGCTGAATGCAGCGGCCCCGTTGTTCTGCCCGTTTGTTAACGGTCCAGGAGCCGCATGACGCAACATTCCTCCATCGCCATCACTCCGCGTAATGTCCATTCACACATGGCACTGCGCCTGCGCACATTTTCCTGTTCTGTGACAAGGGGACATTTACGACTATTTGGCATTCTGGGTTGCTGCGCCGCCATTGACAATTCCACGCACGGGATGTTACTGGGAGGGTTCGGTTAGGTGAGTTAACTGTATGACTTCCAATTCTAACGTTTCTTTTGGACAAAGGGCACAAGTGCAATTCTAATTTGTTTTCTCATACAACAAACGCATAAACATTCACTGCATTCCAAGTGTGGCCTGATTAGTTCCTTGTATAATTGCACAGGATTCGTTGGAAGCCTCAAACTCTCATTTGTTTTATTTTCTATAAACAGATAGGAACTGTAGAAATGGATAGAAGCAGAAGAGATGGGAGTAGGAAGAAAACTGGGAGTTTTGGAAGGAAATAGTAGAGATGGATTTTAACCCAAGGAGGAATGGACGTGCGTGTGGCCAGCATTTACAACTTTGGGATAGCAGGAGGGGCAAATTTAAAAAAAAAACAAATAGTGTGTTCTGAATTTTCACCCTGTACTGAGAGTGACGTAATTTGCAAACTCCTTTTATATGAAACTTGAAAGGGAAAGTTTACAGATGTGTATCTCAAATCACTTACTACATTAAGATCTGACAGATTCATTTAATTCATCACGATCTACATAGTTTTGAGATGAAAGGAGAACTGTTTAACCAGTTACACAGCGAGAACAACAAAATGCCCCACATTCATGAGCTTTTTGTTTCAGAGTTCCAGCATCTGCAGACCTTTATTTTATTTAAGTATTTTGTTTTCCCTCTGGCTCCATTTTGTATTGCATAACAGCAAGACCGACTCAATAAAAAGGCAAAGTCGCCATATTCCAACTGGCGTTTAGGGTTGCTCACTTAAATAAGAAGGTCACCACGAATCTGACAAGGGGAACATTGAAAAGCGATGGTAAGCTCAGACATTGCGGGTATAAAGCCCAAGATGCTGAAATCAGTCGTCCAGCAGCTGAACTAACCGATCCTCCCAACTGGAATACAGTAGGTCCAAGAGTCAATTGCGACTCGAGTACCCAGGGTACCTGGCAGTGGGAACCAAAGATCAAAGGGCCAAACCACTGATGAGGATTTATTGAACAAACCGAACATGCTGTTAAATCTTTAGTCAGTTATAAGGTTTTAATTGATTAATATGTATACGTCAATCCCCGAATTCCTGTCAAGTCACTGCCCTGAGAGAACAAAAGGTTTTATAAGTAAAGAAGAGGTGACATCTTAATTCGGACAATGCATGTTCGGTGTGAGACCTTGTTTAGAATCTGTTTGTGTTTTGGTTTGGAGTCAGGCTGATTTTATTTCTCAAGCAGGTATTTATAAAACGCCACATTGACTGACTGTCGATAGATTGTGTGCTTTTTGAACAAAATTGAATGTCCCTGCAAATACGAATTTACTCCATAGATTTCCGTGTGTGTGAGGGAGAGAGAGAGAGGTGGATTATAATCTGATATCGTGTGATGACGAACATTGTCCACTCCAGTCCAACACCGGTACCTCCACGTCATGTGTGCATACAACAGTGCGCAGGCGCAGTACTGATTGTGAATGGCGCATGGGCGAGATCGGCCGTGGCGAAGGGAGGAGATGTTTCTCGACCTTCTGTGGGAACGTTAACAATTCAGCATGACGAAGGGAGTGGTGGACACGGCGGATGACGGAAAAGTTTCATAAAGATGTTGGGTAAGACGTAAATCCGAATTCGAATACGAATTTCCAGTGCCGCCGTTTTTTTTCTGCTCCCAGAATTTAGGGTTTATGGCCACCATCTTGATTTGGAATGAGGGGCCGCAGGGCGCAGACGCAGCGGTCAGGTATGCTGGGCGGTGCACGTTCGCCGCCATCTTTTTCGGGGGCAATCTTTTTCATGTCTGAGAGGAGCTTGTGACCAATTGCTCAGAATTGGCTGATGCGTGATTTTTGATTTGGACAACTTGTGAGTGGGCCCAAGCATGGCAGATAAAATGTAATGTAGGAATTCTGAAACAAAAAGAACTCATGAATGAGGGACTTTTTTTGTTCTCTCTCTGTAACTGGTTAAACAGTTGTCCTTTCATCTCAAAACTAAGTCGGATGTAGGTTGTGATGAATTAATGTCAGATCTTAATGTGATAATTGATTTGAGATACACGTCTGTAAACTTTCTCTTTCAAGTTTCATATAAAAGGAGTTTGTAAATGACATCACTCTCAGTACAGGGTGGAAATTCAGAACACACTATTTGTTTTTTTTTATTTGCCTCAGCTGCTATCCCAAAGTTGTGAATGCTGGCCACACACACGTAGGAGGGCAGGCCGACAGTGCAGGAATCTCCTGTGGCTTTCCCATCTCAAACAGAGATAGTCAGAACTGCCAGTGCTGGAGTCAGATATAACACAGTGTGGAGCTGGAGGAACACAGCAGGCCAAGCAGCTCCAGCTCCACACTGTGTTATCTCTGACTTCAGCATCCCTGCCCTCCTACCTTTCCTAGAGGTAACCCATCTACCTGACTGTATCATCCATTTTTCTACCTTCCTAACACTGCCATTCATCATACCCACTAGCTCCTGTAAATTCGTTATTGCCGGTATCTGCCATTCCAACGGACTGATGTGATCCAATGGGATTGGCAACCAAACAAGCTTCCTGCAGATATAATCATCAGTCACGCTGAATTTTTCCCTAACCTCCCATATCAGACAGGAAGAGCACATCACTCGACTAAAGACCATCTCTGCACCTTAATATACAGACCCAGAAATTAGCACAGTCTTGCTGCTCTGAAAACGCTGCTCGAGGATATCTTAATACTTATCTTCTGTATTTCAAAAAAATTGAGACAGATCTCGGTAAAACCAGAAACCTCACCCTACCACTATTATAAATTTCCAAAAAAAACAGATTGACCCAACATTTAGCTGATCAGACTGTGAAATGTTGACACTCTCAACTGTAAGTAGTTCCCATTTTGAGGTCTTTGCAGGGTCAGCTGTAAAATTTCACTGTCTGTTTATTTTTCTTTTTTTGTTGTTGTTGCACTTTGGATCTCTTCTCCGACCTCCCATGTGTTCTGTCCTGAGCCTGTGACTCCTGCCTGACACAATCCTGATTCACCTGTCGTGTGTCTGCAAAATTTCAAATGACAGAGAGAAAGAATCGTGAAAGGATATGATCAAGAAGGAGCTGACTATGTTACCTGTGACAACTCCCCGCCCCCCACCCCCCAACAGCAAGAATTCAATTGTGGAAAGTTTGTGTCTTGTCTTTCCAGGAATATACAAAATACCAGTGGTTAGATATCGAGTGCAAACCTGGTAAGGTCTAATAGCAGAAGGTGTACTCATAAACTACGAGCCTGTGTCTATCACCTGGGGTTCAAGCACTAGAGTACTGGAAAAGTCACGGTCAAACAGTCACCGAACAGTCCCCTTTGCCTTGCAGATTAAAGAATCTTTCACTCTGAATACTGCCTGCCAACCAACCACCATCAAAACAAAAAACAGGACAAATTATGATAGTGGGGAGGTTCTGCTAAATCTATACAAAAGAATAGCCAGACCACAGCTGGAATACTGTGAATGTTTTCAAGTTTTCAGCCCCTTATCTAAGATATATTGGCATTGGAGGCAGCCCAGAGAAGGTTTAGAAGGCTGATCCCAGGTATGGAGGGATTGTCTTGTGAGGTGAGGTTGAGTAGGTTGGGTCTGCATTCATTTAGTTTCAAAGAGGCGACCTCATTGGATCAAACAAGTTTCTTAGAGGGACTTGATAGGCTTTATGTGGAGAAATTGTTTCCTCTAACGGGAGAGTCTAGCACCAGAGGGCATCATCTCAAAATAAGGGGTCATCTATTTAAGACAAAGATCAGGAGGAATTTCTTCTCTGGAGGGTGGTGAATCTGTGGAAGTCTTTACTTTGTGGGCTGTTGAGGCTGGGTTATTAAATATATTCAAAGCTGAGATGGATTTCTAATCAGTAAGGGAAATCAAGGTTTGTAGGGTAAAAAAGGAGGATGGTGGAGTTGAAGATGATCAGTTCAACCATGACCTCATTGAATGGCAGAGTGGACTCGATGGGCTAAATGGCCTCCTTCTGCTCCTACATCTTATGGTCTTTAAAAGGATTTGCACAAACTTGCAAAATCCAAGAATCATGAAATCAGTGGTTCAATGGTGAATGTTCCAGAAACTATTCTTCACAAACCTCTTAGAGAGGTTGGCCTGTGTACCTTTCAACTTCTGCATTTTTTTGGTCTCACTGCTTTCGAATCTGTGTGTATGTGTGCTGCGTTATTTGTTTTTCTTACCTGCCTGCCTGACATGTTTACCATGCAAACTCACTGACTGGGCTGCCTGAGGTCTGACAATATTTGTTCCTCTTGGATTACATTCACACACTTGTGTGTCACAATGGAAATTTGGAAAATGGGAAAATGTTTTGGCCCTTGGTATGCATACGTGAAGCTGGGTGTTTGTGAGGTTGTAAGTGTGTGAAAGGGTGTGAGTGAATGTCTGATTGAGTGAGTGCCTGATGTTACATGGGTGGGTGACTGAGATTGAGTGTATGAGTCTGTGTGTGTGTGTGTGTGTGTGTGTGTGTGTGAGTGTGAGAGAGAGTGAGTTGGTGACTTAGTGAATAAGTGTCTGTGTGTGTGTTCCTGTTTGTTGGGTTTCTGAGTATGTGTGGACGTCTGAGTGAGTGAGTGTGCCTGTGGGTGGGTCCGCATGGGTGCCTCTGTGTGCCTGTGAGCACATGCCTGCTTGGTGTCTCAGTGAGTGTGCCTGTGGGCAAGTGCACGTGTTTCTAGGAGGCGCAGTGTGTGTCTATGAATGTGTGTTTGTGTATCTGTGCGTGGGTGCCTATGTATTCTGCCTGAGCTCTGTTTAGTCCGACAGTTTCCCAGTAACTGTCGTTTGCCCTGTGTGAGTCGCTGAGCGATCCTGACCACATTCTTAGGC